TTTGCCTCTTAAACCTCCCTTTCCCGTCGCGTCTTTCTGATCTAAACTCGGTTCTGTTCTCGTAGACCTATAGAGCTCCTAGTCCCAAATTTATCACGTATACATTGTTTTCTCTTTTCTGACGTCGAAACTATTTTTGCTAAAGAGATTATACAGTTATATATAAATTAGAAATTAAATTTGATTGTAATTGTATTTAATTTCACTGATTGAAACATAACATGTACATTTTAACATGTCTTTTTAAACAAGGATAATTATATATATAAATATGCAATATTCGTTTTACTCATAATAGATTCTTTTATGCCGAAAACAGTGCAATATATATTCGCAAAAATCAATATCGCAAATATGTTGCCGAATTTTTACGGTATAAGAAATCCTAGCGTCGCGAGTAGATATCCAAACCAGTTTTCGTAGCGAGTCGTGTTCTCGATAACACGTCAAAAGCGACGGATGCAGTAGGAATCGTAAAAGCAACAGCACTGGATTTCGTTTTATTGACAACGCGCCAAATACTTGGATTCCATATTTATGAGCGGCCGGTCCGTCTTCTTCTTGTATTGTACCTAACGCGTTGCTCACTCGTGCGTTCATCCCGTGAAAGGAGACGGATGCTGGCCCGAGCTCCAAAACAGGCTGCCGCCCGTCTCGTTCTTCCCTCTCGTTTCCCTCCTCACCTCAGTAGCCATAAATTTGTTTCGTTTATACGACCGTTTTAAAATCATTCCCCAGTCAGGTGTACACCTTGTTAAGGTTTAAACTCGTGGCCATTTAATCGCTTGGATCTTGTGGCTATCGTTAGTGGGACCTCTTAAAGTCCCACCTACGGCGCGTTTTTTTCTGCTTCTTTACTCTATAAAATCCGTTATGACAAAATTGTACGTCTTTAACTCGAACGTGATCGACGGAAGGGGAAAATACTGACACAAAAATGCTGATCCAGCGTGAACCGAGCGTGAATTTTTTTTGCTCGATGTTAGATTTGGATTCCGTACATTATTTCTAAGACGAAAATAGCGATAGAGTTATTGTGATGATTTTCTATTAACTTAGATGTGCAGACAGCTTTCCGATTTTCTTGTCGAAAACAATTTAAGAGCAAACGCTAAGTCGACTTTATATCCTCCGAGACAGGTAGCTACCGATGGTTACCTTGAAAATCCATGACACGTCTCGCGGCTGGACGGGTGCGATGAGCCAGCACGGTATTCCATTACGAAGGAAATGTAAATATAATTGTAGCGTGCTGACATAACGGTAAGATAATCCGCCTAGCGGAGGCGCTGCCACTGCAATAAATCGTAATTTATGATCCCTATACGCCCGCCGGTATCGCCGGAGAAATTCAAGACTACACGGACAGAGACTAGAACTCATCTCCTCTCTTTCTCTCCTCCGCCACTCTCGAGCTCATCTTTCCGTCTCTTTTTCATCCGTTCCCTCGTGCCCGTTTTCACCCGCTCTCGCTTCGCTCTACGGAACGGCTCGGAAGGCAGAGACTCTCGATCTGGGTCCAGTCGATGGGCATGCCTACAATGTGCTGCCTTGCCTCCACGATCTATCGCCGTCTCTGTCCGGCCGTCTCTCTCCGACTTTGATCCGCTAGTCTTCTTCGTCTTTATCGCACCCGTCCGCCTCGTTTATGTCTTGTTCTCTTAGCCTCCTCTCGAGCTCTTGAGCACCAATAAATTAATTGCAGAGATTTACGTATCTCGCCCGTAAACCAGTCAGCGAGACTAATGCTTAGCCTCTAATTACATAATTATATGGCATTATGTTACGGCGGCCAATTAATATGTGCGTATAATGATTCAAAAGCGCGATTCGCTCGAGAGCGAGTTGCGTTTCCTCGCGATTCCGCGCAGAGAGTGTCATGCTCCAAATCACCAAATACGCATTCAGCACGCACTTGTGCGCGCCTCTTTGGGTTACGATCGTAATTTATCGTCTGCGAGACAGTAAACGCGCGCCAGTTATGCTTTATGATGAATATTAAAACCGACTCTCTGATCGCTCGCACTTACACGAAACGATTTGCATGGGATATTGTGTATTCTACGAGGCATTTCGTAATGTAACGATAACTTGAAGAATGCTGGAATGCGCAAACTGCCTAGCATCGTCACTCGTCCTTCGAGATCTCACTCTTGCTCCCCCGCGCAAACTTCACCGATCGCTTTTCGAGGGGTTCTTCGATGACTATTACTTCCTCTCAAGGACGTATTCTCGTGGTCGAGAAAGGACATTTTTCCTCAACGGGAAGGAAACGTACGGTATGAAACGGGCGGGGGTGGAATATGAGATGCGGGTAACTGATTTATTTAAGGGGCATGCCAGACATCCGGTTTGTCGAATTACGCTTTAAAAGTGCCCGTAGTAGACGGACTGGCAGATACAAACAGAGACGGACAACGGGACGGACGTGCGAGCGAGAGGCAACAACGTGGAACGAGAGCGCGTAGCTCGTCGACCCGTTAACCGTTTATCATTGCATCGACACGAGTCACGCGGTGGACCCTACTGGCCACTTAAAAAACGGCGATTCAGCCTTTAGTAGGAAGTGACGTCAGCTTTGGAAGTGCGCCGTGAACCACGTCTATACGCGACGTAAACCTTTATAGCTGCTTTCATCAGATAATCGAAGTTTGCCGAGCACGTGATGATGATTTGGTGAGATCATTCGTCCGAAATTGCTTAATAATTGTTGTTAATTGTATGTAATTTACAAATAAGGAGTCTCGAATTATAGTATAAAATCTGATAATGTGTTACAGTGAGTGATTGAGAATTCCAGCGACTATTATGCTGATCTTGAAACAATTCAACAGAATCTTCTTTTTTTTTTCGAAAGAGATTCTTATTGAAATGATATTCATTGACTAATTATTATGAACATGATCTGAAGATTATTCACCTTGATGACCGTAAATAATCCCTCGTTTTGTGTCGGGTGCCAGTAGGAAGCCGACGACGACCGATGCATTATTAATGTCTCCTCACTTTCGTATTTACTTGCTCGTGTAATTTATAAGCTCTGCAGTTCCTGACGAGATAATCATTCAAGGATCGCGAGTAATTAGTCAAATCGGAGAACTTCCGATTGTTTTACTTGAGATTCCTTGATTTTTTCTTTTTATTTATTCTACAAATGTTCTACAGATATTCTATTTGCAGTTATAAATGTTTATGCAGCCACTTGTCATTCTTCATATTTTGATGAAATTGCCCGTTTATGCTATCTCCTGCAAACCAGTGAATTCACGTCTCTGCGCCAGCAGATCCTCCGGAGTTGACCGTGTAACGATTTCAGGCGAGATACGAGAGCAGGCAATCGAGGTAGGGAGCGAGTCGGTACATTATCGCGAAGATGACGCCTATGACAGCATGTGGGAGTAGCTGTCACTCATTGTTGCTTGGCCAGACGTGATATACCCAGACATTTCGCTTCGTGATATTGAGAGATTCGCCCGCTTCAAATTCTTACCCTTCGACCTCGAGACGGGATCAATAAACCAGCACGTGCAAACACCACTTTTTTTTAAATAAGTTCTGTAAAAAGTAGAACAAAATTATATTTGAATCCATTGTTATTTCTTGAAAGATGTGTCGACGATGTCGTTCGATGAGAAAAATTCAGTTCCTGCTCGAGAAATAAAGCCAATGACCCTGAAGATCAGCCCGTTCGCTCATCATTCGATTATTATGAAGAATCATTCAATGAGTGCCCTCTTCGCCCGCCCAATCCGTGGTTGTAATAACACTTCGAAGCAGCGAGGAACGAATTGCCTTAGATTGATCTACGATCTGTTATTCGTATGCTGCCAAGTAATTCGTAGCAAGAGAAAAGTTTGTTGAACTTATTTGATGTTTTTTTTTCGCGTTCTCTTACAGAAAATTCCGATAATGTACACATACGATTTTCCAGTGATTTGGAATATTTTCTTTCCACTTATCGGTCATTTTTTTGCGATCAGTTTTACATACTTACGAACAACACATTGTTGTCGAACTGATTTACGAAATATATTCGCAATTGAATATGCAAATGCATTTCACGTGCGAAAGTAATTCCACGCGTGTCCCAACAGGAACCGTAGTCGTCTCGCTTTTTTTCGTTCTACAGCGGGAGATTCTGTACGAGCGTCATTATCACACGGCTACACCTGCAGAATAAACGATCGAATATTTACGGCGGACATTCGTCGCGCGCGCGACTTCTCCACGCTCCCAGTAAATCCGTTGATTCGTAAGTCGTGCGCGTCCCGCCAGGCTCCCCCGAATCATTTAAGTATGCCGGCAGCATTTTCGTGGAGAGGTACGTGTGCTCCGTCTTTAATCGAGATCGAAATCGGCCCGACGTACGGCCATCAATGGTGCGCGTATGCCTGTATACATGGTGTCTCTGAAAAATCTCAAAATTTCAAAAATTAGAGTTTCGAGTAAACAGAAGCTAGAAAGCCATTAAAATCGATGATAAGACATTCTATTTTACGACGATGTACTATTTCGGTACGTTTAATACAAATTGTTTGAATGTTACATTGTGCTGTCAATTTAACGATTGTGTGCATTACACATTTTGTGCGATCGTATGAAATTAACATTGCATTCTGGAGCGCGCTGAAATAGCACTGTTAACTTTAATTCGGTCTCATTCGAGAAATATTGAATTACTCACGATTTAGTTCACACGTAATTTGTAGTTATTTATGTAGTATCTGTGATTGAAAAGAAACTCGGAGACACGTTGTATGTACGTGCGTGTTCAGCGCAGACGCTTGAAAAAAATTCCCGACGCACGCTAGCGTGACACGCGCTTTACAAGTCAGAAATTTTTATTTACATGAAAGAAGACTATCAAAAGCGAAAATAATATATACAACCGTCGTCTATTATCTGATGGCAAACGATGGCAGTGATGGTCGATTCTAAGATTTGTTTCTTTGTGCAAAAATAAATTGCAATATTAATTTGTAACTTGTTTTGCATTACAGAGGCCACCTTCCTCGTCACTCTCGTATCCCGGCGCGGGGGCTAATGATGATGCACGCAGCCCTGGAAGTGGTGGTACTCCCGGACCTTTGAGCCAGCAAGCGCCAGCTAGCCTGGACTCATCGGATCCTGGTAAGTTCTATTTTATTAAAAGAAAGTAGACGAGTAGTGTAACGCAACTACAATTTTGCTTGCATTATGCGCATTAAAATATGCGCATATTTGTTTTTAACGGTGAACGCAATAGTTTAATTTAATGCTAGGCGTGTCTGAAAGTCGCGCAGACTCGTAAAGACGTATGCTGACGAATCATAAAAAATTTTTGGATCGATCGGTCAAGACAGATCGATAAGGCGGACCTAAAGTAGGTCTCATTCGCGCGCGGGACAAGAAACGCATGTCCAAACACAACTCGCGCGGGTGACGATGGCTAGGCGGGCTAATGACAATATCACGCGACGAGCAACGAGTTGATGACAATCAAGACGCGCGGCTAGCCGAGACCCCACGGGCCTTCTACACGCCCTTCAAATTTTACGAACACGGACGCGAGCGTCCACACCATCAAACTCGCGGCAACGCCACCGTCGAAGCTAATGAGCAGTCCGTCGCATTGGCGTGGTTACCGAAAATATTATCGCGGAGCGCAACTTATGTCAATTTCATTTTTTGAAGAAAATAACATTTTAAAATCAAATCATGCGATAGAAAAATTTGCTGCCAATGGTTATTAAATTTTTGTACAATATAAGAGAAAAATGTGTTTTTGTATAGCTTCTATGATTTATTTTACTGCTTTGTTCACGCACGTTAGCGAGAATATCCGTCAACAATGTCGAACGAGAAGTTCAGTAGTGGCGAACGAGCCGCGCCAATGGTTAGCGCGACCGGGTTCAGTCAGTCACCGGAGGGTATACAAGTTCACGACATCATCCCATAAAGATTCATTAAGGTCCGCCGGCTCTATATTCGCTCTGTCGTGCCAACATTATAGTGCCGCGTGGCGTGCCAGTTCGGCCGAGCGTGCACGCACATATATACGTGCACACGGGCGAGAAACAAAACGGTTGATCAATAACAATCATAAGCACGGGTTACGTCGAACGACGGCGGGGCGAGAAGAAGAGACGGCGATAATCGGAGCGGGAGCGAGAGAAATGAAGGACCGAAGAAATGAATGGTGGCTCTCGGAATGGTGCCGCGTATAACGCTCAAGTTAAGAAACAGTCGTTGTATTCTCGTTGTTGCTGTAATATTCGACGATGCAAATGGAGCGCGTGCAGCGGCCGGCTTCGTGACGCGATACGAATCTGTCGCGCAAGATTTGTCGCGGAAAAATGTTGACGAGGATCTCGCGCGAGTTTCTTTCGACTGCGCATTCCATCGTTTTAATCCCGCTAACCATTTAGTTGTACAAATTCGCAATCTTTATGTTGCAAAGTGAACGATCGAATTATTTATGTTGATGCATCAATTTATGTATCAATAATTGGTACGTAAATATAATACTTGAAAGGATTTATTTTAATGTTTTAAAAGCTCAACTTTTAAAGTTTTGCACATACAAACTGTACGTGTAATCATCACATTTTTTACATTGATATTTTGACAGAAAGAAATGATAAAAATAGAGTTTCTCTCTTTGCTACCTTTAAATTACAAAATGATATTGGCCGATTTTCGTCTCGAAATAATGATATCGTCTAATGGAAATTTCGCGTGCCAGTAGTATTTACGAACTTTTTGTTTAATTACATATTGGCACGAAGATTAAAAGGGAAACAAATAATATTACCTAATGCGACATATCGTCGACTCTCCACGCCAAAAAATCCGTTGAAGGCAATAATTTTCTCGATTCCTTGTATAGAACACACATCCGACAGCGTTAAGTCATCTTCAGATTTAATATCTGCGAATTGAGCGTGCGTGTAGCGCGCGCACGGGCTACAGCTAGTTCGTGACCAGATATCAATCTCGGCGCGCGAGATCTGTCGTGAAAGAGCGTAGAACCCGAGAGTTTCGCACGTGGCTGCTATAGAAAGCGCGGCCGTTGACGCACGCGAGATCGTGAGAGAGAAAAAAAATTGATGGCTCTTCTGCGCTGCGACAGGAACATGATAATCCGCAATCGGCGCTTTCACCGAGCTACGATAGCGCGTGTTTGGCGAACGTCCGCGAGATGAGATATGCTCTCCGCACGCCGCGCCGCTTTGTTTCTTACTCAAGCGCGATCTGATACGCCGGCTCGGCTTGGAAATTGTGTTTATATGAAACATGCAACATGACGAACGTAAATGTGCATGTTCTGTCTAATTATGCACAATCGATTAAAAACGGCGGAAAAAACTTAATTGACATACATTAGATACGCGGAAATCCAATCGAGCTTAGGCAAATCGCGCTTGTCAACATAAATTACGCTCACATGATAAGACCGTCTATGACATTTATAATTATTGATTAGTACGATTATTATTATTGGATTATCTCACCCGGCGATATTTCCGTTCTTGATATCGCGACAAGTATACGCGCGCGATATTTTTTAATTATGTTTTTATAAATCAATGAACTTGCAGTGAAATGTTATTCATTACGTCGCATCGCGTCTCGTATCTCTCGCAGATCGCGACGCGTGAACGACGCAGCGCGTACATGCACGTCATTAACGCGAAAGCACGTCCGCGGGCTTCGAGAAGTGAGGAAACGATACGAGCATCGAATACATTAGCGCGGACACGACCACCTCGCGACGAATAATCGTTTACATCGTGTAAGTGCGCTCCGAAATGTCGTTTAACGATATAACGAGTCGTTACTCGTTATATCGAGTCGACTCTCTTCAATAAATAAGATTGCGTTATTCCTTCATCAGTTTTCAACAGTAGTATCACTTACGTTTTAACACGCAGTGACAATTTAAACCTAATTAATTAGAAGGCAAAATGTTTAATAAGGGCATCAATGATGTCTATCTATGCGCAACGGTTCACGATATACAGATGATCGTACAAATTGATTAGGCTGTCTGACCCCTGCGTGGACGACGAGTATTGACGCACGTAGACTTACTTACTCGTACGTACAGCGCGAGTTACTTGCTTCGGCTGGTTACTTAATGTCGAGATGCTATCGACATATCCAGGGGTTGTCATCGTGCGAGGTATTTGCTCGATTCGCTTTCCTTCCTCCTTTCGGTCTATCCACTGTTTTTTTCGCCCTCTCCCTCTCGCGGGCCCTCATTAACGTGCCGGTTTGTTTGCCGCGAGATATCATCGTGAGCGTTCGTTTTTCGGTCGCACTGCGATAGACGACGTCGGCACAAACTTAATTTGTATTTCCATCACTCGTTAAACCTCGCTGGTCACCGCATGCGGCGCGTAAACATATATTTTTTTCCAAAAACTCTTCGATAACGTATCACGTGGGAAATTGGTCGCGTACTAATGGCGGTTGCCTCGAGGAAACGATGGCAAGTCGATAAAGTTCCATAAATTGCTCGTGAAAGACTGCTCAGAAAAAGTTATGAACTCAATCTTAAGTGTCGTTTAGGCCACAAACAGGTTTATTATACCTATTGCCAGGCTGTGGCGCGGCGCATACAATAAAAATCAAAGCACGGGCGATACATTTGACACTCGTTTTTTAAACGTACGTCGCTATGCGACATTTATGTCGTCCCATCCATCGTCCGGCGACATTTTCGTGAAAGCTTCGATGGAGACATCACGTGTGTCAGCCGTAATGTTTTCTAGGATGGGAAACGCGGCACGGCGCCGACACGTGGGAAGAGCGCGGCTCGGGCATTAACATATCGTGTCGCAATCGCTCGCGGATATAAACACGTTCCTCTTCTCTCGCGGAGGTTATAAAAGATTCTATCTCGGCCCGTGGCTGACCGATCGCGATACACAGCCCCGAGGAACTATGCGCCATGCGCTATACGAGAGCGAGCGTGGTAAATATACCTGTACGTACGACGACGATGGCGATAGCCGCGCGCGGTCTCGTAAAATTTATCTCGCGCGCGATATCCCGCACTTTTACTCCTTGCAAACGAACGCACGTTAATTCCCTCATCACCTTGCCGATCAAATACGCGTTCTCGGTGCGCTACCTTGTTCTCAAAAGGCGCGGCGATGTTTCATGCCACCACGCATTGATGCTTATCTGTCGTTTCTTCCTTTTTTTTATGCATTAATATATCGCGCTCGGCGATCATAAACGCGCAGGTACATAGTACGATCGTTAAACATACTTTGTGTAGATGATGATAGTCCTTTTAGAACTATCTGCTATCTAATCTGTTTTTTGCGAACATGTTTTCAAAAGCATTAAGATAGGTGCGTTGACAAGATATATTATTGAATATCAACGCGTGATATGGAATCTATTCTTTCTTTTTCTCCACTGCAAATTATCAAATTTGAGCATAAAGAATAGAAAATGTGACAAAAATCTTGCCTGCTCTTATATAGGGCGAGGAACTAATTTATCTAAATATTTGACAAGGTACGCTGTGCCAGGTCGTTTCAAGAACCTTTAAGTTAATAGAGCACCGGCGATTAACATCTCACCTCGGACACGATTTACTATCTCAGGAAAGATCTTAAACACGTATCGATCATTCTATCTTTGGAATACGCGCTATCGTTCGAGCGACAAGCAAACAGAGAGAATCTCTCGCGTCTTTCCCGCGCCCTTTTTTCCTCGTATTCGGACACTTTCGAGCAGATTGGGTCTTTCGATTCGGCCGGAACGGGTCCTGTCAACCGACGGCTGTCCCTCCGTAACAACCTTCGACGTTCGACTTTTCGTGCCTTTTGAGAGATCCTTAATCGACGGTTCGTCGACTTCGTCTCCATCGTCTCAGCTTTTTCTCACCTCTCGATTGTTCTTCCTTTCCTCGTCATGCACGGAAAGGGAGAAATGTGCGGAGCGTGAGAAAAGGAGAAAGAGTTAGATATCCTCCGGTTTCTGACAACTATCGGGTGTGTGTCGGTCGAGGAAGAAAGAAGCAAAGTGACAACGGGGACTGGCAGCAGGAGGAACGGGGAGGCGGGATGGGAAAGAGCGAGCGTGTTAAAGCTTGTACAGAAACTAAAGATCACGAGGAATTCCTGGAAATC